TAAATATTATAATATATATATACATATATAGAATAACTATTAATTTGAATACTTTTTCACTCCAACTTTTACGATTTCCGCTAGGGTATTCAAGCTTCAGCAGCTCTCTGAGTCGATACTTCTTTTTCATCATCAAATATTGTTTTTGCCCATCTAGCTATTGATACTCTCTGGGTTAATTATTGTATTATAAATTCGAAAAGTGAAATTTGTGTAGTCCAAATTTGTGTGCCCGCTGGGAGCAGTTGAGAGTTAAGAGCCACATTAATCACTGGCAGTTTGCCATTAAATAAGAAATTGATTTACATTTCTCATCAAAAACGCCGAATAGCCGATACACTCCGGCACACACACACACACACAGATACAGACACTTGTTTATTAAATGCAAAGCTGATACGAATATATAGACAAGCCAAAGAAATTGCCACAAAGGCGCCCAGCGAGGAAAAGAAAAGAAGAAGAAGAAGAAAAAAAGTTGCAATGTAATGCCACAGAGATTAACCTTCTAACATACATAATAAAGTGAAATATGTAGTCATAAATACAAGCGTTTCCTAGACGGACTTTTGAGCTACAGTTTAGTGAGCTAACAAAGCGTGAAAATGACAGCGTGCTCGAGCACAATGTGAACAAGGGAGCTCCGCAGCAAGGGGGCGTGGCGGGGCAAAGTGGGGCACGACGATGCTGAGATTGACGGCCGGCCATCAACGGGGCAGCCAAACAAAACGATGACGAACAATATGCGAACGGATATGAGACGAACTTAGTGAAGTTGGCATTGGCCAGCGAGCTAACTCTGTGTGTGTGTGTGTGTGTGTTTGTGTGTGGGTGCTTGGTTAGCATTAGAAAAGTATAGTAAATGTATTCGGTTCAGCTCAGCTATGCAATATGGCTCTCCAAATGGCAAGTAGCAATTACTAATTTCTTTTGTGTGCAGCGCATGCAACAAGGGAATTTAGTTGTAAAAATCGAAAATGCAACAAAAAAAGGGGGAAAAGGGAAAAAGAAAATAAATAAAAAATAGAGACAGAGACTTCTGCTGCTGCTGCTGCTGCTCTTTCTTCTTCTTCTTCTACCTCTGCTTCAGCTCGGCTGTCGCCGACAAGCAGCTCAGCACACAGCGTTCGTCTTTGTGTCTGGAAATGCCTCTGTCTGGCTGTCTGAGGTATTGAGCTCGATGCGGCATCCACTCACAGATGCCTGAGCATAGATATCGAAATGCAATTAAGTATTTGCCAAGTCGGCAAATGGACGTTGCTGCAGCCGTCGCAGCAGCAGCGACGTCGCTGCGAGCGCCACCAACAAAGCAAAAGGCGGCACGCATGGAAAAATGCAGTCGGAAGGCAGGCAGAGAGAGAGAGAGAGGTTCCAGCTGCAGAGCAACAGAGCTCCAGAGAGCTCTCTTGGTCTTTGCATAACTTTGACGTCGGCCTGGACGACGTTCGACGTTCTGCTGCTGTTCGCCTTGGGGCTTGGCCATACTTACAAATTGGACTACACCTTCATTTTCACTTCGGCTTCGACATGGCTTTTAGACAGACTCAATTTCTGTTAGCCGTTTGTTTGCCCATCGCCCATTGCCCATTGCCTGTTGCCTGTTGCCTGTTGCCCGTTGCCTGTAGCTCAAGCTCAAGTTGAGCCTGATCCCCCATTCCAAAGGTCAGCGGCTGGCGCTGAGAGAACACACGCAAAGTGGGCGAACGCGTTGTTTGCCTTTGCCTCAGACTTGGATCCGGAGTTCGTCTCGGATTCTTCGGCCGCACTTTTGGTTTCACTTGACACGCTCGCCGGCCCAGCGGGGGCAGCAGCGCCTGGGCCGTGCCTAGGCCATCATTACTGCTTACTGATTGTCTTTCTCTGCCTCATTCGCCGTGTCAAAGTTCAAGTTCAGAGTCATTACAGCGCCCCAAACCACATCCACTTCCACTTCCACTTCTATCTCAACTCCAACTCCAACTGCCTGCTGAATGTTTGTTTCTGAGTATAATTTGAAATAATTTGTGTGAAATTAGCTACACACTACGCAATTGCAAAAATTTGAGTCAAATTGCATTCAGCAAAGTTGTTTAATTGAATCCCCCATGAATATACATACATATATATATATATATACTAGCTGCGAGGACGTCGCACAGGTTAGCTCCTACGCTTCGAAGCGCTACAAATTTTATGTTTATTACACCTTAATAATGCGTGTTTACAAACAAATCACGTTCATGGCGCAATCAACGCGCAGCAATCGGCATCGGCATCGGCATYGTAGCATCGTAGCATCGACATCGGCATCTGGGCCCCGACCTGCTGCTAGTGGGTTCTACTTCTGCACACAGTCGTCGGTGTCCAGGCTGACTAGTCAGCTTCCCATCAACGTCAGTCGCTGCGCCGTTGCGTCGCTGCGGCCAGCGCTGTGCGGCGCAGCGCAGCGCACGCATCGCCACTCAAATTATATGGTAAAGCATTTTTATTGGCAGCTTCAAGCGTTTTGCGTACACTCAGCGAAACGAAATTGTTTGTGACTTGACTCAAATTCAAATTTAATTCAGCTGTAAATCTTGTAATTGATTTAAATGCCTCTAAAATTAGCGCCAAGTAAAGTGCTTAAGTTGTAAGACATTGTTTTTATTTTTAACTCTTTAATTTCAATTACTATAATTCGTGTATTTTCAGACTTTTACCTAATTAAAATCATTATTTTATAATACATTTTTTATAATCAAAATTATTATTTTTTTTTATAGAATAAATGTATTTATATTATTCATTTCGTAATTATAATATAAACTATTTATTCACCTCACTTATTTAAA